AGAGGAGGGGGAAATTGTTCTAATATCACTCCACATTTATTTACTTGCCTTTTCCAAAAGCGGTGGGGACTTCATTATTTGAATTTTGTTGTCAAAGGAAATTGCGAACAATTAGTTGAGTTTGATTGTCCGTCTTTTGTTGACCCTTCAAATAATATAAATAACTTAACTGATTTGTCCAATAATATGGCAAGTGTTTGTAATGATGCATTGGTTATAGACACATCTTGGCAGGACCCTCAAAGATCAGGTTCACCAATGCATTCCTTCATTCAAAATTTTGATTTTGATGCTAGCATAAACATAAGTGAAGAAGTATTTTTAAAAACAAATGCCTTCACTTATGTTTGTGGATGGATGTACTATAAAATATTTAAGTTGCACAATTGCGAAGCAGGCCTTCCATTAGTTAATGAAATTTCAAATGATTATTTCTTCACTCTTGAGAAACAATTCAAAGATTGCAATTTAGTGCATCCACCAAAGGCCTTCGTTGATTATGTTAAAAAATTAGATAAAGAATTTTGCCAATATTTCGATAAAAATTATCACAAAGTTGGTATCGCTCAATTTTTATATGAGAAGCTAAAAAATATTCGCCCTTATATCTGTTGTAATAGGACCAATCCACATAGTATTTTGACCCTGTTTATAAGGATGCGAATATATTTCATTTTAAAATTTTTTAATAGAGAACTTAATGTTCCTAATTTTGACAAAAGGTTTTGCGTGTAACGCATTTGTAGATTTTACAATTTTTATGGCATTATCATGTACTTTTCAATCCACTAATTTTAAAGTGAATACCGCAATAGCATTTCAAAATTAAAAAGATTTGTTAAGACTCTTATGTTTAAAATATATATTTGTTTGATGACATCTACATATATTTTTATTTGTCTTTTGTATAGAAATAATATTTTATATATATAATGTTCCATTTCATTTTTTAAAATAAATGGTATACATTGTACAATAATTTATGCTTTTAATTTTATATTATTTATTATTACTTGTAAATTCATATGATGATAATGATTTACTTTTAATTAATAATTATCAATTAAATTAACATATAAAATATTTAAACTTGTATTTATAATTTTTTTAAATTTTTGATTTATATTTTTGTGATATAAAATTTATATTTATTAAATTACAATGTAAATATTTTGTATATTATAGTTTTAAAATAAAATATATAAAAATGGTGTATATGCCTCCTGGGGAACCGGCACCTTAACTCGGTAACGCGCCTCTATGTATACCTCAAAGGTGGTGTGGAAAATACATAATAAATTATTATATCCAATTAATTAACCCAAGATGTCAGAGTTTTTAAAATTTTCAAACCTCTACCATTTTATTTAGGGAAAAATTAAGTAAACATATAACTAATGTAAATATATTTTAAGTTATAAAATAAGTCAAACTGTTAAAATAGTACATTTAATAATTAAATTATCATATAAGGCCCAAACTGCTATAGCAGTAAGTATTTTTTTTTTCTTTACTTGTTATTTAAATGGCTGTGTAAAGTTAATAATAAATAAATAAACCCGAAATGCTTATTAATAATACTCACCACAAAAATTGACGACGAGCGCGCACACCCCCACGCATCAACTATTTATTCGGTACTGACTGCAAAATTCGTTTTACGAATTCATAAAATGAAAATTTTTTAGACAATGCACTATTTTAAAAATACATTCACCATAATGGAGTGGTCGTGCAAGCAATAAAATTAATATTTATTGCAATTGTTTAAAAATTTATTTAATTTTGAAATAATTTTCTACAATATCTAACGAAAACCAATATATATTAAATAAATTTTGGAATATTATATTTCTTGAAGTGAACAATGCTATACATTAAGACTGAAAAGTTTTCGGAAATTCTCATTTAAAATTCGCGCGCTGTATATTTTTCGATATTTTAAGTTTATGTAGTTTGGCAGCACTGTCCTTAATTACTATGCCAAAAATGAGCTCGATCTGTCAGACAGTTCGTTTACGGCAGCTGTTGAAACCAGTTCACCTCAGTAGTGCGTTGCGAAATGTCTTCGACGGTCGTACGACCGTCCTGGAAGGCTTTGTACCACTCATAAACTTGAGTTTTCGATAAAACTGATTCCCCATAAGCCTTTTGTAGCATTCGCAACGATTCTGCACACGAAATTTCGTTCGAAACACAAAATTTGATGCAAACTCTTTGTTCAATATTTTTTTCCATTGTTTTTTTCGCAACGCCCTACTGAGGTGAACTGGTTTCAACAGCTGCCGTAAACGAACTGTCTGACAGATCGCGCTCATTTTTGGCATAGTAATTAAGGACAGTGCTGCCAAACTACATAAACTTAAAATATCGAAAAATATACAGCGCGCGAATTTTAAATGAGAATTTCCGAAAACTTTTCGGTCTTAATGTATACTCAATTATTTATTTCTGAAACTAAGTAAAATAAATTATAATATCACTTTTGATATGTTTAGCACTGAATTATTATTATAAAAATTAATGATTTCTTTTTTTAAGTATACAATTTATTTGCATAGATATGTGAATTTTATGCTGCATGCAATAGTATATAAATTGTATATATTAATGTCATATAACTTTAAATTTCATTGTATAATATACCCAATTTATTCCAAAAAGCTATTTAAATGAAAAACATTATTAACATGATATTATACTGAATTAAATTTCAAAACATATTTTTTGAATTTCAAGTTAAAATAGATTTTAATTACTTTCAACATATTATATGCAACCCTTCTGAACTATTATCCGTACAACAAAAATATATAAATAGCTAAGAAAAGTGTATAAATAATTGTGTAACATACTCCATTACAATCAAAAAAACTTTTTGCATTATTATATGTTATTGTAAATAAATCCATTTAATTTAATAATATTTAAATTATATGTAATGTATGCTTATATTCATTTATGAGTATTTATATATCTGCTTAAATAAAAACTTGTACAGTAAGTGGTTGAAAAAAAAGTTATGCAGCAGCCCTGAAAGAGCATGAAAGAGCGTAAAAGTGGCATAAGTGTGCTTTACTCACACTTATTTAATACGAGTGACAAAAATGTAATAAAAAATTAATTTTCTTAAGCAATTTCTCTTAGTTTTGATCGAGGTGGGCGGAGTAGTTTCCATTCTAGAAAAGACATTCTCGGGTTTATATCCAATTAAGATGAAACATATGGTTTGTCAATACATAGTTATATTGGCTAATGGGGTGGTACAAGTGTTACAATCACATAGTTGTTTGTATCACTTGGGATAGATCTGCCGTTGACCTTCAATAAGAGCCATCAGTTTTGTGTTGGAATTGCCTTTGCGCTTGATTGTGAAGTGTGCTTTCCTATAAACTGGAAGAATTTATGGAGTCGGATCAGAGTTTTGCTCAAGCTTTACCAGAGGTGTTGCCAGTTTTCCCCAACTTTGTGGATGAAGACGTC